CACTCACCTGGAAAAGCGGAGAGCTTTGGAAAGCAGACGAGGACGTTCGGGAAGGGCGATTTTACCGGTCTGCTGCTCTACGAAATGCGTAATTGCTATTGTTGTTAGTATTTTCATATTTTTAATGAGTTCCCAAAAATGCTTTTGTAATGTGTAAAGGTCCTAACCTTTCACAAACAGTCCTAACTGTTTGTAGGAATTAAAGCAAAAGAGAAAATGTTGTCAATAAAAACTAAATGTAGAGGTAAGCAGTTCAAAATACATAGTATGTTTATAGCTTTGAAAGCAATAGACGCCGTCTCTCTCGGTGACAAAGTGAATAAAATCCCACAAAGCGATTTGAAGTTCTACATAAACTTCAAATTTCACTCTTAATACTAACGTTTAAAAGTAACCTGACCCCAATCCGTATCAATGACGTAATCATCAAGATTTTTTGCAGCCACTGATGCGAACGAGTCAAATCGTACCTATAAAATTTGTTGGTCATCTCGAATGACTAAGAAAAACCTTCTGCGAAACCATTTGTCTTGTCCCAGGCCACAATTTGACTCCTAAACTTCTTTCCAAGCATTTAAGCCAATGGGAGATAATGAAATAAATGCAGCTCTTGTCGAATCTAAATCGAAGTGATATAAAATAACTTGTTTACGATCCAACGACATGGGGGTGATATTCGGCTGCATCCAGATGCCATTTATAGGTGGATGACCCAGTGTCTTATAGTTAAAATGCAATGATTATTTGAAGATGGGAAAATTCCCGTGGAACATTCCTCGTGCGGCTTTTTGAACAATTGGCCTATCTCCATAGGTGTATGCAGGCTGTGGTGCCCACAGAACTCGTGCTATTTAGTGTTATATAATATGTTTTTAAATGACTTGAAAAACAGATTTCGACGAGCAATTAAACAAGAAGCCTCTTTAAATAAAATAAACTAGGTACCTATCCAGATAGATAGACTTATCCAAGTCGTTGACAACGCTCTAGTTCACTTCTGAATTAAAAAGTGCAAACTTTTTGTCATCAATTACCTGAAGTAGGTACCTGCATACATACCTACCCTCATGGATTCAAAATTAGTAAAATAAGCTTAAATAATCGGCAGTCACGGTCGAAACTGCGGGGCCAACATTAGTTATTCTCAATTAATTTGAATATTAAAATTATTAGTGCAGTAATTGATCGATTATCTACACTGCAGTTTACATGCGAAAAATTTATCTACGTATTAGTTATTCGCGTGCAAAAGCCGCCGAGCCATAATCACAGTTGTATGAAAGTGCATGTTGGTATAGCCTTGACGCGCGACTTTGTTCGTACGACGGGCTTGCGTGCCCGAGTCCACATCCCGTCCGCTGATTTCAAATGTCACGCTAATCAAGTCTTACCTATTAAGTACACTATTAACCAAAGAATTGTCGACTAAATAGTACCTACTACTTTCCACAGCTCAATGATAAATATAGAGATACACACGCACCGCGAATTCATAGAAAAGAAATCTTGGGTAGAACTAGAATGACCTAGTACAAATTCATAGATAGTTATTTTTTATTTCTACAAAGATTTGGTCTTTTATTGCTAGCTAATCTAAAATTGAAGCAAGCGTTATCAAAAAACAGTGTAAATTTTATGAGGTGGGAAATATAAAAATTAATATGGTCGTAAAACCTCAGTGGTGAGATAATAACTTACTTAGGTTAACTTGTAACGCAATGAATGACTTCATTTAAAAGTTTAATTTAATGATTTTTAAGTTGAGATTACATGTTAATTTATTTAATTTTATCTGCAATGTTTACTGATCGAATAGATATTTCTGGAAGACATAGCACCTTTGTAAATAAATATATTACGTAGATGAAGTTAACGAAGATTTTGTTGAGCCAACAAGTTGAGCCTCATCCACAATGTCCAATTACTTACCTACATTAACATTCCTATTTATCAAAACAGATGGATAATTTGACGCATTTCCCATACGTAATGTGTCAAAATATGTCTTTGTTTAAAGCTAACAGTCAGCAGCAATTAGGTATATTATGAGTTTTAAATGCCATCCCAGACCATTTGTCGCGGAGAACTTAACGGATTGCCGGGGCTCCGGCTCGACGTGCAGGAGAAGGAACGTGGTAGTTTTAGTCAGTAAGAGTAGGACACTGTCTCCCGCCTCACCCAGGCAGGAGCAGATAACTAGTCGATGATTTTTACCCTTAAAAAAAATCCCAGACCGTTTATTCGCCCCAAGTTTTACTACGTAATTTTGCCATTGCAAATAATAATAAAGGAAAGACAAAACATGTATAGGTGCGATTTACAACTTCAATAACTTCGTTACTAAAAGGTATGTCCAAGTCCATAATATCAGCCTACTTATGAGAGAAGGTGGGATTACAATGTCTCTTTGTGAATATTACGCTTTCAAAGTGATGTAATCAGGTGTATTTCCTTCGTTTACAGAGCACTGGCGGTATAATTATTTTCTAGAATGTATTACGACAAATGCGAATGATTACTGTTCATTGAAACATGGAGACATGCTACTGTTTAGGGTTCATGTAGAGTGATTTGTTTGTACAGAGTTTTGTTATTAAACAAAGCGAGTAATTACTTAGAATATGGATGGATGAAAAGAGAAGCACAGGATAGATGGATAGACAGATTGCCTGAGGAATGGTATAAAAGTAAAAGGAGTTTGTGATAAATTGAGTTTTTCTGCTGTGATACCTATAACAGTAAGACATAGCTCTGTTGGAAAAGCACGGGTAACTTAGCTATTCCTGCTGGTGTCACTGGTTTTTTGAAGCAGTACACTTTGTCCTTATCGGTATGAAGGTAAAACAGTATAAAATCGGTCAAGGCAATCTTTGACTTATTTATTAAGTACTTATTATTTTCGTTTATGTTCCTAATAAAGTTTAAAATTTTAATTAGTTTTACAGAAAAGAATTTTAATTAATAAATTGTTGTCTTATTAACATTGCCTGCAGTGTGATAAAATGTTCACGCATTGTTGCTAGCACTTCATAGACGCATTGTTCATTATTAAAAGATAACTAGATCTCTTGAAACCTTTATTATTTATATAGTTTACAGAGACTATTTCCCGGGTTTATTTCCTAAAAACGCACCTACTAGGTAGGTCGTGTTATTTGACTACTGTCAAATAACACGACCGACCGACGATAGAGACGATAGATAGACTAGAAAATCTTGTGAACATATTATTACAAGAGGCTTTTGCTCAGCATTGGACGACTTGTGATGATTATGATGAACGGAAAATAGGCGCAAGATTTTCCTAAATTTAAATGTTTTCGTACGGAACCGTAGGTACGCCTCTAAGCGATGTCACTAAGAGTTTTTATCGACGACAAAATTGCTGGGCGGAGAGTTGACAGGACGCGGGCCCGCGCGCCGCACCTCGCCATTTGCTGTTCTAGGAAACACACTGCAAACGTAGTGTCTGTCATTTGGTCCGATTCCTGGGGAACTTAGATTAATTGTTACCTTTCGCAGCTATTACCAGTCGGCTTTAATGCGAAGTTTCCTCAATCGACTGCGCTTATTTCTCTCTGCATGTCTAATGTGATACAGAAATGATACGCTACCCGCTTGCCGCGAACTGCCACTTGCTCGACCAATAACTTAAATATTGTATGTATTTATATAATTGCTGGCTTCCTTTACAAGTTAGGTATGACGGTTTAAATAGTAGTTGTAATCGTAAAACAAGTGACTGCAACAGTCAGGCTTTAGAAGCAATTATATTTTCCCACCGACCGTGATCTGTTTAGTTGGACAACTATGTAATTAATTAATTCTGAGTATTTTTATTTTACGAATTAAAATTCTTTGGTCATGATGTAAAGGTATCCTGTAAACGAGTACAGAATAAATTTTCATAATTATATTGTATTAGAAATTATAGTTTTCATGGTAATTGGAGATATTGGTACGATTGTGCAAGGGAAGGCATTTATTTTGTCGCAGTCGTTTCTTACGAATTCCTTGGCAAATTTCTTGACTCCCGTCAGGGTCTGATTGACTGATGAGTGCCAATGGACCTGTGAATGTTACATTACCTGCATAGCAATTACGATCGAAACCTTTCTAAAATATTCTGAAGTGGGAACTCCAAGAGGGTCAATAAAACAGAAAAATTCAATTCGTACTTTTTTATCTTTGAAACAATACATAGATAAATAATATGAGTAAGAAATAAAGCTCGGAACGATGTCACAAAATGAGAAATACCTAAATAAATGTTAATTTAGATAAAAAAAAACATCAGAAGGAATGGAAATCCTCTGTGGTGGCTTCTGATAGAACAAAATGGACAAAGATAATGATGGGCCCACAAACAAAAAGATGAAACTTGATTGTAACATTGTTGGTCAAAACTGAGAGAATATTTACAATAATTTCTATACCACAACCGTCAATTGTAATAACATATTATGAGTCACATAAACAAAGATATTCATAAATATCCAACAGATATTTTACAATAAATAAAAACACTATACTCGGAATTTTAATTCGATTCCAGATTTGACAATTTCAGTGTTGCAACGTTATGACAAGTACTAAATAGGGACGTTGCGAAATTATTCGATATGGAAATGCAATATTTCTGGATCGATTCTTCTCGTTTATAATTTTACTCTCGTAAACTAAGTATATCAGGAAATTAAATATTTCTGAACCGATAATTTAGTTTTGACGATTAATTAACGATCTGAGACTTTTCTTTTATAATTGTGTGTGAAATAAATAACAAAATGTAATTATGAAGGAACATGACAAATAAAACAGATAGATGTATTATGGTAATAAGTTATTTTATAAATTGTCGCCGTCATTGCTATCCCTATCCTGTCATTTTCTGTAACATTTATTATAAAACACACACACTGATTGTTTATCGATTTTTGTGTTCATCACTACACTTTTATATGTGGTATCATTATTTCACAAAATGACAGTAGCTATTGTCAAATCTGGAATCTAATTAAAATTCTGACTATAGTTACAATTACAAAGTATTATTTTTTTATTTCAGGCATTTGACACAGGCAGTCGCAAGTTGAGGCATTCTTTTTCTGAATAATTTATTTATTTACCCCGTTTTTTTATTCTGTGCCAGTTGTATTTCTGTCGTCTACCGTTAAGAAAAGATAAAAGTAGTTTGTAAAACCAACTACAAAACTTCTTACGCTGCAGCGGCCACTGGGGACGCAAATCGCAAGAACACGCTGTATCGTGGAGGGACTGGACAAGGATTCGGGGGGAGGAGCTATGAACCATCCTGTGTTACCACCAAAACCAAGGTGACAGCGAAAGTGCTATTCGAATAGAAAATCAAAGACCAAAGGCAAAACAAGACGAAGTGGGAACCGCGACAGACACATTAGCGACATCTAGATTTAGGCGGCGAATATAATAAGCAAGTCTTGGAAGCTAAAGACTGATCTCGTCAGACAGATCGTAGACAGATTAATGCCATTTTTATCAACATTTTGAAACGAAACGGATAGCATACCTAAATTGGAAGTGGGTAGCACATGTTGCTTGGAAAAATCATAGGGCAAACGTCACTGGGAGTGCAAGCGGTTGAATAGCAAGTACCCGCGACGAAAATCACAGATGCAATGGAAATATGATGGGAGAAGCTCGTGTATGAGGAAATCCATGAATACATCAATTTTGTGACTGCACAATCAGAAATTGAGAACTTCAAAAGTAAATACGCAGAACGGCCCCGAAACATTAAAAAAAAGCAAATGAAATCAACAAACTCTTGCTCAAACGGAAAAATATGGTATGAAAAGGCAGATTAACCATTATTTAACACATATTTTACAATAAATAAAAACACTACTTACAATTACAAAGTTTTTTTTTAATTTCAGGCTTTTGAAACATGATGAAACACACAGTCGGAAGTTGAGGTAATCTTTTTTTGAATTATTTATTTATTTAGACCGTTTATTTTTTTTTATTGCGTGTCATTTGTATTTTTGTCGTCTACCGTTAAGAAAAGAGAAAAGTAGTTTGTATAAAAAACTGCAAAACTTCTTACGCTGCAGCGGCCACTGGGGACGCAAATAACAACACGCTGTATCATGGAGGGACTGGACAAGGATTCGGGGGGAGGAGCTATGAGTCATCCTGTGTTACCACCAAAACCAAGGTGACAGCGAAAGTGCTATTCGAATAGAAAATCAAAGACCTCACCAAAGGCAAAACAAGGCAAAGCGGTCACCGCGACAGACACATTAGCGACATCTAGATTTAGGCGCGAATATGATCAGCAAATCTTGGAAGCTAAAGACTGATCTCCGTAGACAGATTAATGCCATTTTTATAGACATTTTGTATTGCAAATAAGAAATTATCAACATGGACACGTATCGGGGGACAGTCGCTCGCGTCGCCAATCACCAAACCCTAGAAACTGGAAGTGGCCCAGAGGCCAATAGAAAGGATGGTGGGTGTGATATTGTTAGACTGAAAAACAAACAAATAGCTTCTTAAGAAGTGCAAGGTCACAGATATGACGAAACGGATGATTGAAATGATTTTGACTTTGAAAAGCACACCTAAAATGGAAATGGGCAGGACTTGTTGCTTGGAATGAAAAATTAAGGTGACAACCTCTCTTGGGAGTGGTAGCGGTTGAAAAACATGCGCCCGCGAGGATGATCACAGATGCACTGAAAAAATGATGGGGAGATGCGTATATATGAGGAAATCCATGAATACCTCAATGTTGCGACTGTACAGTCAGAAATTGAGAATTTCAAAAACAAAAACGCAGAACGTTCCTGAAACATTAAAAAAAATTCGCTAATGAAATTATAAAACCCCTGCTCACTATGAAAAGGCTAAAACGGAGAAATATGGTATGGAAAGACAGATGGGATTCCCTCACCTACCCGCCTTAATAACTCACTAGCTTAGTCTTGCGACTAATCACCGATATATAAATAAAAAACACTTATAAAACCGTAAAATTTCAGTGAAAATTGAACCTTATAATCTAATTCTTAATGTTAATATCACTCTGAGTCTTCATCATCTATGGGTGATTGGAATGCTTTGGCCGGTGGGTTTAGCATTTTGGTTCTAGTCGCTAGGCGCATGGTAGCTGGTCCTAGGGAATTCTTCGCGATGGGCGCGAACGGAGCTCTCCCGGCCCCTAAACCGGCTGTACCTTCGTTTGATACTAGAGGTACCTGTAACAAACAATTTACGTTAGTAGTGGTGTAAATAAAGATACAACAAATATTAGGTGGGAAAAGATATATTTCACAAACTGGTAGCTGGTAGGTTGCTTGCTGCGTTTACATACCTATTTTATTCATTTACTAATTAGGTTTTGAACCTAGTTCAGGCACATGACATGTCATAGCAATAATAATATAGAAGTAAGACATATATATGAAATATCTGTTTATATTTTTTGAATATTTTTTTTTATTTAATAAAAATGTATGTTACATTCACCCATTGCTGCAAACTTTTTTGTGTATTAACTTGGTACAATTTGTCTTATTATAGTAATGGTAATCCCAACAATTTAACATCCGTTTTCCAACTAACGACTTGTTTTAAGCCGGATCAATTCTGTCTGAGCCTGCCAGCACTATATACTGGGTATACATATGTAAATGAACCTGTTTCAAAGTAACTACACCATGAGAAAAACATGGAACTTTATCTACACCATAATGTATGGGAATTATACGTGCCATAGAATTAAAGTTCAAAATACATAAAATGCATTCAAAATTAAGAAATGTTTGAGTATATTTTCCATTTATGTTATCTTTGGCCGTCATATAAAATTAAAAGCGAGATAGCGGCATGCCACAAGGCGGCTAATGTTTTCCTTTTTATAAGTAAACCCATTACGTGTTTGTTGTTTTAATGCGGCAACAAGTCCGAGGCTTTGTTCGCCTACATTCGGATGCACGGCTCAAATTGTGTGAACACTTGGTTCGTGATCTTCATGTTACGGGGATGCTAGTGACGCATCAGCCCCGAGCATTGCCCTAACGACATTATTCTGTTTCTACGCGTGTATCTTCGACCTCATCCATTCTAGTCGACCCCAAGGAAAAAGAGCACACTGAACCACTAGACCATAAATGACGGGCGACTACGCATACATTAGGTTTAACGACAGACAGACGCACAGACAATGTGTTATTAGCGATTCATTGTCTAGCCAGGTGAATATCCTAGACGAACGGAAGTCCAGATTTCCTGTGGCATACACACGCGCAAGCGGTGTATGGTGATCCGCGGGGCAACGGCTCGGAGCCAAACAATACCAAGTATAGGGGACTCAATGCCACATACTACATGGCTAGACGGTTTTTTTACGCAGGAAAAAATGCCAATCACATCAAATGATGAATTAATTTTCTTTACGAGGTCCCTGTAACAGTGTTGCATGCATGTGGCCATTTTGAGTGTGAAACGACAGCGTGGTCACGAAGCTACGTTAACATGTTGTTTATATTTCTTTTACGGTAAAACTTGACGTTGATTTGCATTCGACCATGCACGAGAATCAATTTAAGCCCATGAGCAATAATATTATTGACTGCACCCTTTTTTGCTTTTGACCTCCTTTTTTAATATCAGTATGTTTGAATTGCAAAGTAACGTAGATAGTTATTTTTAAATGGTTTTAACGTCCTCGGTAGACCTCGAATAATGTCGCAGTCTAAAACATGTACAATACTTGTTTCTTTTCCGAGATTGTGTGTTTATTACCTAACATAAGTAAAGCCTATGTAAGCCTTTGGAGAGAGTACACATAGCACATTTAATGCGAACCACCATACAAGAAAGTGACCACAGTAACCCGAGCGCGGCATCGTCTGCGGCGAGCGTAGCCGGGGCAATCCCACGCGACAATGTTGCGCCCGACCACTTATGTACCCGATGAAATCGCACCCACAATCTCATTCACCAATGACAATTTATGCTGACGTAATTACGTAGATATTGTACTGAATATATGTGGTGTGGAGTCGGCTTAGCACTCCTGATTGTAATGTACCTCCTTCGTATTTCTTATTGCAATCCGTAGCGCTCTCAGGAATATTCTAATCTTTTGAGCTACGTGTAAAATTCAACGCATTATCCGCATATTTCGCGATCCAAATCAAGACGACATAATAGATTTATGATTAATAAGCCCTTGAAAAATTAACTTTAAATGTCAACAAGCTAAAAAATATGTCGGACAAGAATATTCTTGCCTAAATATAGAACAAACATTATGGAATTTTACGGCAAAAAATCCGGAAACGCCGCCAAAGGAACTCGCTTGAAAAATTCTACGAAAGTTGTTATATGGGACGACTGACGAGTCACGGTTATGATTCAGATGTCAGACCCACCGCGTATCATAATGCGAGTCGCAATAAAATAATTTAAGATCTTCATAATATTGTGAATGTGCATAATTTAAGAGTTGACGGTTGTCTTAATATGGGCATTACAGACAATTACGTTGGGGAAGGCGGTGCATATGCTCCGTGCGCGGGCGCATGGATCCGATGCAGTTTAGATAGCCCCCGACGACGGTTGACGCACTGACGGCTTCACGACCGACGATTTAGTTGCAGTTCTCTTTGAAAACTGTTATTGTAGCATTGTTACCAAATACTACTTTAAATGACCCACTTTCATGGAGCCATGTGCAATTTAGACAATGAGGTTGATGTTTAGCTGTTTTAGTCGTAGGTGCTTTTATACCAAATTGTATATTGCATACAATATGTTTGAGACATAAGTACTTACCCACATAGGGTGAAAGCATTGACAGCAAAAAGGAACTACAAATTAGAGTCATTTTACCTAGCTACGAATTGAACAATTATAACATTTATACGTACTTACTTGGCATATGATACGAGTAAATTTAGTGATTGAATGAGTGTTGAGTGAGATTTGTCTAAACGTACAGTCGACCTTATTAGTCTTAACAAGGAATTTAACATACAAGTTCCTTGACGCCAGAATTCTCGAAATTTTAATGGGAACAGGAAAAAGTTAGGAACAAAGACAAGTCAGTACCATTATTAACATAAACATCACGCCTTTTATCCACGAAGGGGGTAGGCAGAGGTGCACATTATGCCACTGTACAATGTAACACCCACTTTTCACTATTTATGTTATAAGTACCACGTAATAGGGGGTGAGCCTATTGCCATATACCGGACACAATTCCAGACTTCGTGCTACTACTGAGAATTTTTTAAAAACCCAGTTATACTTTGCCCGTCCCGGGTATCGAACCCGAGATCCCTTGCCCGACAGTCGCGCTTGCGACCAGTCGGCCAACGAGGCAGTCTACCATTATTAAGATAGTATTTTAACCACATGACCTATTTTCACAATAAAACTGATACACGCACAACATATGCAGTAATCGTAGAGCAATTTAAATTAGATGCCGTACGTGGCTGTGGGAATACTTATTTAGCTGGCCGATGGTATCTGAGGAGTTATCGTGCGAAACATCCGAGTGTCTGGATGGGCCTATTTTACATACTTGGTGTGTCAAGGCTGGGTACCGTGCCAACAGTATGTCATTACCTTTGCCGAGTTATTGCAATTTCATTTGCGCAGTGAATTTTTATGCGGTCTGTGAATCAATCTCTTTGTGTATATGAATAGATATAGAGTCTAGTTCTGTCTTGGCTTTATTGGGTAAGACGTAGGACTCGTGTAAAAAGGCGAAGATAAAATTGGACTCAGAGAAGACCACCTTGACCCTTTTCATGTAATACTCTAGAAAAGTGATAAGCTCAATGTATCTAAATACTAAGAATTCTTCTATAACTTAAATTTTAGCATGGTTTTACAAAAAAAACTTGAGATATTGAAATAGAACAGATAAAATATTAAAGCACACTATCTGAAACGATTCTTAGATAGGAAAAGGAAAGATATTTTCAACATGAAATATAATCGTAACAAACAAGAACTTAATATTAAGATATAATCCCACCAAAAACATTCTGTAAAAAACTAGTCAAGTCTCGTTGGAGATGCTAGTTTGTCTCTAAAAAGTAATGAAATATAACAAAGTCGTACCAAGTCTAAGGTTCCTTATTGCGATTTCGTTATTATAATAGTTAATGTTGTGTGACTTTGCCGTTGAAGGGTACAACACCAGGTGCTCCATGACACCATTGCACCAATCTGTCGCCAGAACCGCTACCCATTGACGATGGAAAAATGCCCTTGGAAAACGTAGTGTTACCCTTCAACGGCCAAGTCCCACAACATTAACTATATCATTCATAAATTAAATAGCGTACCTATATACACAACATTCCCACGTCACCGTTAGATGATGTTTTATGATAACAAGTGCTGTCATTTACCTATCTTTCCAAATCATGACGAACATCCGATTTGCTATATCTTACACTTTAAGAATTACCCGATTGATTAGAGTTTAATTTATTAAATACTACGTTTTACCCGCGGGTTTGCCCGCGTATGCCTATCCCATGGGAGCATTTTAACAGGATAAAAATCAAGGTATCCTATCACCTAAGTAAGCACAACCCTACTTGTAGACAAAAATTCATCAAAACCCGTTCCGTAGTATCAGCGTAATTGACGAACAAACATTCAAACAAAGAAACTTTCACATTTATAATATTAGTGTGATTAGCGACATGTCCCGTCTTCGTATGGATATAGCCTAGTAATTTTGTAAAACCTTAATCAGTAAACCACATATAAAGACATTGCTGAAAATCTTAGGATTGTTTTAGGTAGAAAGGTAGACTTTGTACGTTGAATAGGAGTTACTTACAGTTTTTTTTATTACTAAGTATTATTGTTATTGAATGTTAACCATGGTTTTATGGTCTATATTAGTCCTCACTGAAAAAAATGTCATTTAATTAACATATTATCGTAACAAAAGCAATGTTCAATAAGTTAATGACGACGTAACAACTATGCCTATTTGAATATATCTTCTAAAGTTTTGCATTGCAGGGGACAAGTTATTTATATGAACTCATAAAATTCTATAAATCTTTTCTACGTGTTACGTGCAACCGTCGCCAATAATACAGTATGCACATAAATTGCAAGTATTATAAGTTTCAATGTCAAGTAAATAAGTGTTTCATAGTTGGCGTTGGCGAGTAGTTACATCTGCATACGAATTGCAAGAGCTCTGCTTATG